TTGTTTAGTAAGCAGCAGGCTCATATTCTGCCTTATATTACATAACACAGAAGCAAAGAAAGATCTAGTAATAGGAATATCTGGGTCCCCTTAATCACACACATACCTAACCTAGTCTTTATTTGCAGAAAGTAAGAGCAAGGAACTGATTGAAAACTAAACTATACATAGTAATTGGGACTACTGCATATAGCTGCAAAACAGGCCCAGGTGCCAAGTTATTAAAAAATGATTAATGAAATGAAAGCTGAAATACTAGGTGTGAAATATGAAAATAAAAGGGAAAGAAATTATAAATATTCAAAAAAGAGTTTAAGAAAAAGAATAACTGAGAAATACTTTTTTAGATGTGTGATAAAAATATTTAAAAAAAATACATCTCTCAGAGTAATAACGAGAGGGCTATTACACTTAAGGAGCTCAAAGGAAGAGGAAATAATTATTCTATAAGTAGAGATAAATTCACAATTTTACAAATTAAAGATAATTTCAAATGTGGAACTTTTTTCAAAAATATCACTTAATCTATTTCATATCCTCTCATTTGAGATGAAAGAGAGAAAACTAACTCTGACACATTTTTTTGTAAATTATTTTTCAAAGTCATATTCAATAAACATATTCTAAGAAGATTGTTCACGTAAATTATCTCATTAATTCTCTCAGCAGCCCAGTGGGGTAGAAATTCTTAGCTGCATTTTACTTCTGGATAAATGGAGGCTCAGAAGGTGTAAGAAACTCAGCCAGCTGGAACACCTCAGAGCTGGAATTTGCATTCCCAATTGTTTACTTCCGCTTTAACACTCTATCTCATCACAGTTGCTTTAAAATCCTTATATAAGAATGCCATCAGAATGGAAATGAGTACCTTGCATTCAGTTTCACTTAGCTTTTGCTGATTAACAGATGCATTCACATTACATATTTTAGGGTAGTGTTCATAAAATACATAGTGACTACCACTTAATAAACCTGATTATATAGAGAGTTATCAGATATATATCACTCTTTTTACGTGGTAGGGTGGATTACAAGGCTCTGAAACTAGTTCTTTACTGTTTTGTTGTTGTTTTCGGTGCTCTGCTTAAATAGAAATTTTTTGTAATCAAATAGCAATCAGACATTTAAAAGACAAGCTGATCTCAGTACTGTATTTACGTAAGGCAGCAATATTTACAATATTTACTGTATTTACAAAGATCACATTTTCTATTTTGTGACCTAGACACCTGGGGTACAAACTTCAGTAAGAGAGTCAACATCATTGAAATCATCCCTCATATATCTGTCATATAAACAAGACTTTAAATTCTGAAAACTCTATATAACAAAAAGAGATAAGTATTTTTTTCACATTACTATTATGAAGTACCAATGTTTCTGTCCTTAGTTGATTTGTTCTTGTAGCCATTTGTACAACTTTTTAAAAATCATTTTCCACTTAATAAAATGCTTTGCACTGGCAAAACGTAATTATGTTATGCACAAGCCACAGAGATAATTATAGTTCATTCAGACATTCTTAATCTGCATTAGTGGAAACAAGTTACAGGGTGATGAGAACCTCACATATCATTATCCAATCCCAACAGCTGCTTGGTTAATCTTGCCATAATCAAATCTAAGTTACCATCCTATCATTTCTAACCTGCCATGTTCTTCTGAATTTCTGCTGATTTAAAGACATATCTAGGCACTGTTGTAAGTCATCAGATCTATTTAAGACTGCCTTATGATTAATGTGTCTCACTAAGCCAAATGTCCTTTTTCTAACATAATTTAAGACTGCACCATGTCCCTATTTAGAATTCAACCTAACAAATATGTGCTTGCTAAATTTCTCCTACATCCTTTGTATTAAAGGAAAGAGAGACCCTCGTGAGTATTACAGAATCTAGTACATATTCACAAGCAACCAAATCCTGCTATGGAGAAAATAATTTCATTTACTATATGATATGTCCAATTTCCCATACCTCTTAATTTGCCTAACACTTAAAAGTAGCAATCAAATGTCAAGTTTTCAGGTCAGTAATCTACTCATCAAATAATTATCAGTGATATAGAGAGCATTCTTTTTAAAAGCAATATTAGATCCTTACTAATTGTAGGTTAGCACTTCATCCTGTTTGATTTTGCTTATTCCAAGTGCCAGGATTTCCACCATTTCCGATGTAACTTTCCTCTGTAATTGAACAAATTTCACTGCTAGGTTGTATTTCCTGTGATTGAGTTTATCCTCTTCCTGATGATTATTAAGCTGTAGACAATTGTCTTAAATCTTTAGGACAAAAAATTAATTTTTCTTTGTTTTTAGCAATCTGGGAGAGTCAATAATCATTTGTGAGTTTCCCAAGACTAATAAGCTTGTTTTTATCTGTGAAGTGTCACCATTTTGCAATGATGGCAATATTATTGTTTTGACAAGCAAGGAAAAAGTTACAAAAGAGTAGCTAAAATATTTAATCCTTTCCATACACATCAAGAGACTTAATCCTTTCCATACACATCAAGAGACTTCCGGACTCCCTCTTTCCGAAACAAAAAGTACAGGTGAATGGAAATCCTGCTTCTGTAAAAGAACTAGAAAATATATCCTACTAAAATATATCCTACTACTTAGAATGAAAAAAGGATAGGAAAACAAACCCAACAGGTACTCATACATATACTCAACCTTATCAATATGTCTCACTGATGACTTACCAAACTCTTCAGGATCTTCAAGACACCTGGAAAAGTTTCTTTACTTTTATCTTAATGTGTGCTTATAATTCTTAACCTGGAAATGCTTTATATTAATCGTAAGTATGTTAGCCCATTCAAATCAGACCTATATGAAATTTGCTCTACCTTACATATCAAATCCCTGTTACTACCCAATAAACTCACCAAAAGACTTACCCTGTTACTATACACACAAACCTAGATTCAGAGGTTGTTTTTACTCTCTATATTCTATTTTTTCACTGCCTTATTTAAATAAGTTAAGTATCCTAAATACTTATTCCTTCTGAAGTACTGTCCTGCATGCCAAAGAAATGATGATGAGGTATACCAAAACAAATAAACAAAAAATTGTCCCTCCAAGCACATGCTATTTAAAAATCAGTGGAAGTTTATCTTTAGCTTTTTAAAAAAACTCAACAGTATTCTGTTGTGGTTTTATTCAACCTAAACAAAATTTAACAAGAATACTTGATTCTTACATGTTTTCAGCTAGATTCGCAAATCACAGATTCTAGTGCCTGAGGTAGATTTGAAGAAATGCCAAAATCTAAAACCAAGAGACTTGAAAAACACTAACAGATAATCCCTAACATTTTACCTTACTGAAATGCAGAAATTGTACCATTCTCTCAGGTGGTAAAAGCAGAGGCTTGTAGACTGAGTACCAAGACTCCTTTACAGAGTCATGAGGGATCACAAAGACACAATAGATCATGAAATTTATCTCAGTAGAGTTAAGCCATGATGATACAAAACTACTGGAATGACCTCAGAAGGAAACTGATTTTATATACTTTGTGTATATAAAATATGATATAATTTGGTTCTCAAAATAACTCTATGAAGTGGATAAAATGGTTATTATGGATAAAAACTAAAAACTCAGACAAATTTCATTGCCAATAAGAGAGGAAACTAAGCTAAAACCCGTATCTTCTGGTAACTTATCAGTCCTTTTCCCTGTTGCTTAATCAAAATTTTCTTCACTCTCTCAACATCATCAATGAGTAGAAAATAATAAAAGTAAATTTCAAACATGTTTAATATGTCTCATTCTTCGCTTTTTAACATTTTTGGAATTAATCCATTATTGAAAAGAAAACTACATCTTAGGTCAAAGTGTTTAAAGAGCACGTAAATACTACTACCCATTATAACTTGAAACCAAATGATTAGACAAAACTTTTTATTACAATTAATGTACTTTCACTTGAATTCTGCTACCACAATATTTTTCCAATTGCTAGTCTAAACTCAATAATTAGGCATAGCATATAATATGCTTAATGGGAGCAAGGCAATTTCTCTGAAAGTTAGAATAATTTAAGTTATTGATCTAATAGTTACATGTTAATTATAACTCCACGGTTGTCATCTAAACTTTGTTACCCTTTCTCTGAGGGAATTGAGGAGGATCTTTCTTTTTTTGACCTAGACAGGAGTTAGGCTATCTTGTTGGGGGACTAACAGTCTCAGTTGCTAATGAAAAATATTCTTAGGTCGAACACCTGGAAACGAGCCTTCAAATATTCTACCTCATCACTGTTTATTTTTTTTTTTTACATGTGGTAAATTGTTGCCAGGTCTAATGGGAATATAAGAGTCTATTTTACTCCTCAAACATTTAAATACTTCCCCTTCATCATAAAGACGAGAAAAGAATGGCCCTCAAAACCCTATTTCAAGAGTGCCCTCTACGTAGTGAATACAGTATTTTTGAAAATGTAGATAAGTCTGACATGCGCCACTTAAGAACTCCAATATTACCTTTTCCTGCACTGAAGTCTAGCAGAATCAAAAGGACGCATAATGCCTTCAAACTCTCTGAAATGTTACCTTTCAGTATAATTTCAAAAAAATCTATACCTTGACCATAAGTCAAAAGAGAGTGTCAAATGAAGATTAGACCTAAATAATTTTGGTTAAAGGAAAACAAAAGATAAAAAGGCTTTTTTAGTGAGCTTTAAAAAATGTGGGTACATGGTCTATCTTGTATAATTTCTTATTCAGATACTGTTTTTCAAAATGTGGTAATTTGTGGCTACAACAGAATAAGGTATTTTTACTGTGGTTCTCTTCAAATTCAAGGCTTTCAGAGACGTCACTGTCAAACTCAGAAAAAATTCTTGCCTTGGCAGGTTTTAACAGACCCTTAGTTAATGAGATCAACTGTTAGCTGTTAGTGCCCTTTGGAACTCATCAAATAATTCCCAAGGATTAACAATTGAGAACACTCTGTCAGTGAAATACAAAATCTCTGGATTACTCACCAACACAAACAATCTGCCTTTTCAAATCGACTTTCTCAAATGTTTTGCCTGCTCTCTCGTTTCCATTCCCACTGCATTAGTTCAAGCTGCTCCACACTACTCCCATTCCTAATTTCTTTCCATTCTACTTGTTCCGAACACTGCTTTCTTTCTCAAGCACATGCTCCAGATTTTGAAATGACTCCTGAGCTATAAATAGTGTGCTTAAGGCTTGGCATGTGATAGTCCACGAATATCTTTTAGACATCTTTATCTCTGGCCCTATCATAGAATCTCATCTCAGGTCATTTTAGAGTTTCCGGTTTTCATGCTTTTACCTCCATCTCTGCTGATGATGAGTTCCTGCTTATGCTTCAACCTCTGCTCAAATACTGCCCCTTGCAAAAAGCTCTTTCTTGTAGGAGAGTCTTTATCCCTCTACTGTATAAGCTAATAAATCTGGCCTTGCATTAGCACTGACTTATGAAAAGTTCTGTTCCATAGCTACTAAGAATTTAGAGGGCAGATAATGTGTATTGGTTGTAGATGTGCTCTCCACAGTGCCTGGCTCAGAGTTTGTACATACAACTGAAGTTATCCTACATGTGTTATCTGAATAACACATGTAGTGGTTGTGGCTCTTATGACGGACACAGAGAGATTATCTTACCCAGATTCACCTGAGCAAGGTATGGCCATGTGGCTGAGCTCTGAAGACAGGAGTATATTTGAGTCTGCTCTAGGTCCAGACCGCAAAATTTTTCCCATGTGCGAACTTATACTTCAGTAGCAACTGTAGAAGTTACTATTGGTGGAGGCACAGGATATAAAGAACCTAAGTCCTTTCCAAGGCCACTGCATGGATTATAATCTGAACAAACTCTGAAATTCTAAGAAGCTGGTGTTTTCTCTCTGATATCAGCTGATGTATCCTTATAAAACAGCCATGTCTGCCAATTATTATTACAGTGGAGAATGTAATAAATAATGTTATGAATGTAGAGATGCATATATATGTATAATTTATATAAAGTTTTCTTTGCCTGTGTGCCCATCAAGCATAATTTCCCATTGCTATTGCTTGTTGTGTATAAACTACCCCAACAATAATTTTGAATTAATATATTTTAGAATGGATGGAGAATTTAGACACTAGAGAAAAAAATTTTGGTATAGACATCTTTTTATAATTTGTGTAGTCTTACAATTGTATTGCCCATACTTTATTCAATGGAAATATTTCTTAGAAACTTACTTTTATTAAGGCTTGCCAAAGCAAAACCTCAGTTTTCAAAGAAATGACAGCTTTATGTATTAATTTTTAAAAATCAGTTTACCTAATTTTTAATTAAATAAAATCCATAAACAATTGCCATAAATAATGTTTGAGAGTAAATATAATGGAAGCTAACATGTTTGCAATATTGAAATTCTTATATTTAGTTTAAGCCTTGTACCTCTTAATGCCATGCTCAGGGTCTCCGGGCACATACAATCCTACCACACAGTTGCATTTGAGATAAACAAATACATTAAGAAGTGGAGCTGGTACAACACCTATCTGACTGAAGTGTGAAAGGTAGCTTACCAAAAGATACTAGCATGATTCACTTTGGTTGTGATGGCTGTATGAGTTACTGCTCAAGAGAGAATATTACACAACCTTATTGCATTTAAAAGAACATAGATTTTCTTAACTTTTTCAAATCCACATATGAAAACCAGTGTGATCCATACATTTTACATCTGCTCATTAAAATACACATCTCCAGGTTCGACTTCTCTGCTTCATTCCTTGCAACTGCCTGAAGGACTTACCTCTTGGCTTTCTTATCACCCCTCACAAACTTATTATTTCCCAAACTAAGCTCCTCTGGTCTCTCTATTATTAGTTCCTTTCCTGAATTTACTGTTTTTCAGAGTTTATATGTCCCTTCTCGCCATTTTCAGCAAAAGTCCAATATATTTGGAAATTTTCTGTTCATAACTATCTTTCCTGTTCTATCCCCAATCTCAGTTCTAAGTAGACTCCACCATAAGTTGCCCTACATCAGAAGAACACACCCTCTGCACCAGTGCTACAATTAGGGAGGCTACCCACCAGTTCCTGTATATGCAACAGGCCCTCCTCACTGTTCCAACTAGCTCTTCATCCTCCAGACTGTCTTGATCCTTCCCTGGAAACAGTAAGTCAATGAGCCACTGGCCCAGTAGCCTTTGCCCTTGAACTGGGAGAGACTGAAACTGTCAGCTGAAGCTCCTAACAGAGGATTCAGAAGCAGGTGTAGTCAAACATCTTTGCCAAGGTACAAATTTCCTTATCCTCAGTATACATTTTTAAAAAGTGAGACTCCCTGTTCTAGCCATCTCTTTTGGGTTCCTAGATTTGTCTATTTGTTTTTTTGAGACAGAGTCTTAGTTTGTTGCAGGCTGGAGTGCAGTGGCGTGATCTTGGCTCACTGCAACCTCCACCTCCTGGGTTCAAGTGATTCTCCTGGCTCAGCCTCCTGAGTAGCTGGGATTACAGGCATTTGCCCCCAGGCCTGGCTAATTCTTGTATTTTTAGTAGAAATGGGGTTTCATTATGTTGACCAGGCTGCTCTCAAACTCCTGACCTCACGTGATCCACCTGCCTCAGCCTCTCAAAGTGCTGAGATTGCAGGCATGAGCCACCATGCCTGGGCTTGGCTTTCCAGAATTTCTATGTCCATCCTCTCATAGAACAGAAGAATTTGTCTTATGTGTTTGAGAATTTTATTTTCTAGAGTTAAAGATTTCATAAGAGAACTTTTATCAATTTGGCAAAAATGTCTGTGAAGTAGAAGGTTCCCAACTCATACTGTGTATATAACAGGGGACATAACTGTTCCTTACAATCCTGTCCCTAGAACTAACTCTTACTTCTGTTTTCTCCTGGTCTTATTTTGGGATGACTTGGCTGGAATGACCCTACCTTGCCTGGCATGACCATCTCATCCTTCCTCCAATGTGAGCCCAGCCTTATGCTGCTGCTTAGATTTAGTAATTTCTCCATTTATACATTGTTGCTCTTCTGGGATTTGCTACTTTTATATGGAATTTGTTCTTCAGATCTTCTCAGCAACCAGTGAATCCATTTGGCTAAACGTGTAACTCCTAGCCATATATTCCAATCCTTCCCATCATGCAAAGTCAAACAAGTGTTTTGCTCTTACATTGTTTGCTCTCACATACATTGTCTATTATCAGTCAATCCAGAATGTTCTTGCCTTGCTTTCTACATCTCTAACATTCATTTGCTAATATTTTATACTCTGAATAAACCTATTCATATTCTTCCTTTTTCTATAAGAGTTAAGGAAGCTGTCTTAGTTAATCCTCGCTACTGCCATTCAGCAACTAGTGAACAGGAGTTAGTTATATCTCAGATACTTGTCTCTAGATCCCAAAACACCTTCTATAGTGGCTGTAAAGTGATCAGACATGTAACAAGTCTTGGATTGCTGACAGGCAACATGTAGCATTGCCCCTCCTAAAACAAATTTAAACATAGACTAATCCCAAAGAAGTTCATCTGGCTTGTCATTATTTGAAAAAAATGAAAAGAAATGGAACAGTGTCATGAAAAGCAATAGCCACACATTCTTCAAAATGAAGTGGACTAAAATGATACACACCCATCTTAGTTATCAGTGAGCCCCTATAACTAGTAAGTACTGGGGAAAGATCAGAAGCTCCAAAAATTATGATGAATACAAAATTTTCTCTCTGTTAAAAAACTGAATTTTCTGGCTTCAAAGTTATTAAAGAAAGTCAGCCCACTTACATTTTCCTTCAAAAGATTAATATTACTTTGAAATTACATGATTCATTAATAATTAATCTTTAAAGAAAGAATTGCAATGAATACACACTCTGATTCCTTCTTTTTAATGGTGCACTCTGGAATTCTCAAACCATACAATTTATTTTGTCATGATTTAACTTAAAGTATATTAGTGGCTTATGCAGATGAAAAATGGAAAATAGCATTCATAAAGTGTGACGTGTATATCTCTCTATGTACATATATCTGTCACTATTAGTCATTGCATATGTGTGTGTATATAGTATCAATGTTCCTTTTCTACATATCTGTTTATAACTAATCATTTCTAATCACTCAATACATAATTAAATGTATTTACTAAAGACATAACAATGATTAAAAAGTTAATAACAGTAAACATCGATAATTTCTTCTATCCACAGAAGTAAGTAATTCTAAATGTTGATTAAAGTGCTGTAAATCTAGATGATTTGGGCCACATTCCTGTTATATTTGTCCCTATGTAATCTCTAGTGTGTGAATATATGAATAAATATTGATTGTAACCAGCTTGCTAAATTGTTTTGTGACATCCTGCCTTCAAGAATATATGAAATCTAATCTTGCTAATTTAAATCGGACTGACAAGGAAATATTGATTGAGAAGATGAGAACAATAAGAAAACCAATTAAGTGTTGCTATAAGATATTAAAACAATATAGAAGACACTGGTGTCAAAGAATACCGTATTGAGCTTCAAGATTTAAAATGTTTACCTCTTCTTTGTTGAGAGAGATATTTTACAGAGAGTGGAGTGAAATTTCTGCTGAGAGGACTGTGTTAGCAATGGAGAACAGTGTAAGAGAACTTTAAAGCACCAAGAAGAGACAAAACAAATGGTGTAAGGAAAGACAGATTTTGCTAAGAGCTGAAGGCAAACAGAACTTTCACTCCAAACTAACAAATTATGAGACGTGAGTGCATAAATCAGCTACACTTTGCAGAAAGAAAGGTAAGAGAAGTCAAACAAGACAAGTTAATGCAACTGAAAAAAGATGAGGAGAAAATTTTAAAGACATGTTCATGCCCTTGGAGGAAAGACAAACTAATAAATAATACAACGAGTATTCCACAGAAAAATAAATACTAGAGAAAATGGGCTTGCTTAGAAACAAGTAAACAACAACAGCAATGTCTCAAATGGTCTATATTAGATATTTTTTTGGAGTAATCCAAAACCAGCAAATGAACAGAAATGATGAGTATTTATATAAAATGATAAAAGCTAAAAAGCTTAAAATCATAGAAAATGTCATGATGTCAAGTATTCCCTTCAAAAGGCAAAAATCCTTACAGATCTGGCCAGTGTCTTTGTATCTGAAGTCATTTCTAATACAAAGATGGAAGTAGAGGTGGGAATATGCAAATATCCAGACATGAAGGATGAGAAGTAAAGGTGAAAACTTGAAACCAAGTTATCCAGAAAAATATACTATACCAAGAAGGCTGGTTGTGCTATGATGTAATACCTATGGAGGAATGAAGTGTAAAAGATCATGTATATGATGCTAGATGAACTATATCAATAACCAGCTTAAAATATTATTTATTTTTTCAGAAATACATGGTTCCTTAGTTATTGCATGAAATCAAATCAATAAATCCACTAGAAACTGGTTGATGTTAAGAAAAAATGCAGAATATAATAGAGATTCACTGAGGGTTTTAATTTCTTAATATTTTTCATAACTTAACTTCCTAACTTTATAACTGTGACCGTGAGTTTACAGCTCTACAAACCAATCCCCACACATCAAGAGAGTCAACTAAATTAAAAATTTAGAATTTCAAATGTGACATTAAAAAGAAAAAAATAGCCCATCATGAAAAATATAATCTGGAACAGATTTCTTAGTTGCTTTGCAACCTCAGCCATCATTTAGAACTGGAGCCTCTGGTTCCAGTCACTTCTCTTCTGCCACATTTCTTTTTTTTTTTTTGAGACAGAGTTTCTCTCTGTCGCCCAGGCTGGGATGCAGTGGCATGTTCTCAGCTCACTGCTTAAGGTGCCACCTCTGCTTACTGCAACCTCTGTCTTTGGGGTTCAAGTGATCCTCCTGCCTTAACCTCTCCAGTAGCTGGGATTACAGGCATGTTCCACCAAACCAGGCTAATTTTTGTATTTTTACTAGAGATGGGAATTCTCCATGTTTGCGCGACTGGTCTCAAACTCTTGAGCTCAAGTGATCCACCCACTTCAGCCTCCCAAAGTGCTGGGGTTACAGGCATGAGCCACCACACCTGCCTCCCAGTCAGTTCTCCTCTGAAAGACTATTTCTTCCGCTATGTAGAAAGACACCACATTCATCACTTAAATCACTCTCATTGCTACCTCCTCTTACCTAGTACAGGCCACCTCCCACTGCACATAGTTAGAGAAACCCTAGCACAGTTTCAATCTCATAACATACCTCCCCTACTACACTTGGACTTCTC